TTGAAAAACTGCTTCTTGGTCCAGGTACAGATTCCTCATGAGTGCAATTTAGTGTTCTGGAATACTACGCAATGTCGTCCATAGCTTGTCATGATCCACACAATGGAAAACTTTGCGTAGTCAACAAAGCACAGGTAAACATCTTTCTGATATTCTCTGCTTTCTGCCCTTGTAGCCCCCCCACCCCATTTTGGTTAGCCAATGTCCAAGTTGCCCATCCCTGTCTACTCTGTATATGGATGGGATGGGAATGATCTTTGCTGTAAAGATTTGTTCCCTCTTTTGAGCTACTTCATTCATAGGTGTAGGTCAAGTTCATCAAATTGTATCAGATTACTCTTTTTTTCCTCTTCTGGTTGAGCTCTGACCATCCAGTCATTGAAGCCAGGTCAAGTGGGTATTATCTGCACATGTGAGTGTTTTTGTGCATACGCCCTCCCCTCTTATCAGCTTCACTCTCCACTCTAGTCCTCTGTGGGTATGTCACTAACTCTGGGCCCAAGAGTCCTCAGGTCTTGCCACACTGCTGGCCACCCAGGTCTCTACCTGGGTTCACAGGAGTCTATTGAACGTTGTAGGGTTTAGCTCGCAGCTTCATTGCTGTTTTTCCCTCCTTTCCCCTTATCAGTGACGAACGTGGTCACCAATCAGAGCCTGCATTCCCATTGAGTCTTAGTCTTGGAAGGGGGTTTGCATACAGTAATGTTTGATGGGGAAACAATCTCTTTACAGCATCTACAGATGAACGACAATACTAAGCTTTATATTTTATAGAAGTTGTAAGAATGACAAAAGGTATATATACTTTCTTTGATTAATATACTGGAGTTCTGAATAATTTTATTTATTTTTAATGTACTTTTTTTCTTAAAAGGATGAGAAAATGATCATTACATATGTGAATGAAAAAAACCATAAAATTTCATCCATAAATGTATAGCAAGTAAGATAATTGCCTTGCTTTTCTACTCCAAAAGGGAATTTTTTGGGCAAGATGTAAACATCTAGGTTTGGTGGTAGTGGTGGTTGTGTGCTGTTGAGTCAGTTCTGACTCATTGTGACCCTGTATAAGGTTTCTTAGGCTGTAAATCTTTATGAGAGCAGAAAACCTTGTCTTTCTCCTGTGAAGTGGCTGGTCGATTTGAACTGCTGATGTAGTGATTAAAAGCCTAACTCCTAACCCACTATGCCCCAAAACAACTAGGTTTAAATACTGTATATATGGTCATGAACTACACACTACCATGTGATTAGAATGCACTTTGCAGGGATTACTCAATGAACTATGCAAATGAAGTATCTGTAGCCTACTTTGCAAATGAATTTGTCTGTTGTCTACTGAGAAGGATTGATTGGTCAGTTTGTGCCTTAAAACTGGTGAAGAGTTTGTATATATAAGCAGCCAACCCCTACAAAATTTTCCATTGAAAAAAGCAGGAAGAGAAAAAAGCAGGAAAAAAGCAGAAAGAAGCAGAAGGCGAAAGAAACAGAAGAAGCAGAGAGAGAGAAGAGGCAACAAACCTCTTAAATGTGCTTGAAGACAGAGAGAGACAGAAAGGGGTACAGGTGCAGACCTCATGGCAGCAGAGCCAGTGGGGAACGATGGCAGGGCCAAGCCTGCCCATAGGGGGCTGAGAGGTGGCCTGCAAGTTAGAGAGGAGCTGAGACAGGTACCCTGCACTGAAGAATGAGGGCTTTGTTTATGTGCTTGCCCATCGTGGTCCTGATCCTGAATTATATCTTGTTCCTTAATACTCCAATTAACTGTACGTGCGATCAGTGAGTTCGGTGTGATCATTTTTTTAACCCGAAAGAGAAGTAGAGAGTGTTCCATGGGGTATGTCTGATTTGTGCTGATTCTGATCATTGCCATCCCTCCTGAAATTGGACGGGTTTGGGTGCTACTATTATACCATTTTCATTCTTATACAAGGGGCTTCAGAAAGTTCAGGGAAAAATTCCATAATCTTAATTCCATTTTCCACAAACTTTTTGAAGCTCCTTTGTATTGTCTGATGCATTTGGAGCCTGTCAGACTGAATGACTTTTTATGGTTACTAGGCCCTTTCTATACAGCTATCCACATAGGTCATAGAAACTCACTTCCAAGTAACAGTATTGTTCTAGGCAGTGTATCTGTGTCTCAGAGGGCTGCAGTAGAGGAAAATGGTTAACTGTAAGAGAATCTGTCTATAAGGCAGAAGCAGTACCTGGTACTTGCTTAAGAAGTTCCTAGTCTGGCTGACACATTAAAGATCTTGATGTAGATGATCTGGATTGCAACACCCAAAACCACTGCTGTCAAGTTAATTCCAACTCATAGCAACCCTATCGGACAGACTAGAATTGCCTCTTAGGGTTTCCATGGCTTTAAATCTTAACAGAACTAAACTGTCACTGTCTTTCTCCAGTGTGTGGTGGGAGGCTTGAACCACTGATATTTTGATTGGCAGCTGAGCCTTTTAACTGCTGTGCCACCATGGCTGCTTCTAGACTGTGATAGAAAATGTAATTTGTAAAAATGTGATATAAAATGAATTATTGGTGCAAAACAAATTGTGTTTTGTATTGTCAGTTGCAAGCGTGGCAGTAAGATTGTTAGTTGCTGTCAAGTGGACTCTAACTCATGGTGACCCTGTGTGTACAGAATAGAACTGCTCCCTAGGGGTTTCAAGCCTATATTTGAGAGCAAATTGCCAGGCCTGTCTTCCAACCCACCAACGGTTCAGATTAACTGTTTATGCTACTCAGGGATTCCAGCAAGGAGCTACTGTCTGTCCTAAGACAGCCCCACTGTGGTTACTCTAATGGAAAACTTTCTCTTTGCAGCTGAATCAAAGCCAGAAATCTACCCCAGTTCCTCCTGTCTCCTGGGGTTCCCCTGTCAGCAGTTTCTCAGCCAGCACGTGCTTCGGATCTTCCCAGACTTATGTGCAGACAACCACTCCCATCCAGGGGATTCCAGCCCAGGGCATCAGAAGCAGCCGGAGCAGCAGGATTGGGAGCCAAGCTGCTGGAGTGAAAACACAGAAGGTCAAGAGACAGAAGATGTCTCCAAACCCTCGTGTGGGAGCACAGGAGGCAGAGAGCCCTGGAGGGCACTCTCCAGCCCTGCCCAAAGTCAGTCAGCAAGCCCTAGAGGAGGTAGCACAGTGGGAGGACTAGAGCCCAGCTCAGCTCCAAGGGGAAACTCTGAAGAATTAGCAACCTCAGGATTTGGAGCAGTCAGCTATGGAGAGGAGGGATCAGACTGTGGGCTGAAACCAAACTTTTTCACAAACCAGAGGTCTCTCTTCCAGAAGAAACCCTATGTTTGTAGTGAGTGTGGGCAAGACTTTAGATATAAGTCAGATTTCCTCAGACACCAGAGGAAACACTCAGGTGAGAAGCCATATGTGTGCAAGGATTGTGGGCGAGGCTTTAGCCAGAAGTCAGGCCTAATGGGGCATCGGTGGACACACTCTGGGGAGAGGCGTCATGTTTGTAGTGAGTGTGGGCGAGGCTTTAACTATAAGTCAGATTTCATCAGACACCAGAGGACACACTCAGGGGAGAAGCCATATGTGTGCAAGGATTGTGGGCGAGGCTTTAGCCTTAAGTCAAATCTCATGAAACACCAGAGGACACACTCAGGTGAGAAGCCTTATGTTTGCAGTGAGTGTGGGCGAAACTTTACCCAGAAATCACACCTCTCTATGCACCAGAGGACACACTCAGTGGAGAAGCCCTATGCGTGTCTGGAGTGTGGGCGAGGCTTTAACCGGGAATCCAGCCTCCTTATACACCAGAGGACACACTCAGGGGAGAACCCATATGAGTGCAAGGAGTGTGGCCGACGCTTTCGAAACAAATCGACTCTCGTGGGACACCAAATTAGACACTCAGGTGAGAAACCTTACACGTGCCTGGAGTGTGGGCGAGGCTTTAACTGGAAGTCAGGCCTCATCCTCCACAAGAGGACACACACAGGGGAGAAGCCACATGTGTGCAAGGAGTGTGGGCGAGGCTTTAGCCAGAAGTCAGGCCTTGTCAGACATCAGAGGACACACTCTGGGGAGAAGCCTCATGTTTGCAGTGTGTGTGGCCGAGGCTTTGCCCAAAAAGCAAGCCTCCTTGTACACCACAGGACACACTCAGGGGAGAAGCCTTATGTTTGCAGTGAGTGTGGGCGAGGCTTTAGCCAGAGGTCAGGCCTCATCAGACACCAGAGGACACACTCAGGAGAGAAATCTTACATTGGTCCGGAGTGTGGACGAGGCTTTACCCAGGAGTCAGGCTTCCTTTTTCCCCAGAGGACACACTCAGGGGAGAAATCCTACATGTGCTTGAAGTGTTGGCAAGGCTTTAGCCAGAAGTCAGGCCTCCTTCACCAGGAGGTACACCGAGAGGAGAAGCCACATGTATGCAAAGATTGTGGGCGAAGCTGTAACCTGCATTCAGTCCTCTTCATACACCAGAGCACACACTCAGGTGAGAAACCTTAGTATGCCTGGAGTGTGGGCAAGGCTCTAGGCAGAAGTTGGGCCTCCTCCTCCACCAGTGGACACACTCAGGAAAATCCTCATGTTTGCAGTGAGTGTGGATGAAGCTATAGCTATAAGTCAACTCATTAGACACTACAGAACAGCTGGGGGAGAAACCTTACATGTGCAGAGAGTGTTAGTCAGAAATCAGACATTAGGAGACACACTCAGGTGAGCAGTCTTAAATTTGCAGTGAGTGTGACCAGTGCTTTAGTTGTAAGTCATACCTCCTCATATACCAAAGGACACAGAATAGAAACTCTGTGTATACAGGAAGAATGGACAAGAATTTGGGAAAAGGCATACTTCATTATACATCAGAGAACAGCTTTTTTGGGGAGAAGCACTATGTGGGTAAGGAGACTGTGAGGTACTTTCACACAGAGGACACTCAGGGAGAATAGCTGTGTGGGCAGGTCTTTGAATGAAATGTTATGCCTGTGTCCCCTCCTCAGCTGACTTCAGAGGACACAATTTTGCTACCAGAAATCACTACTTCACCTACATCTGAGGACATTTCAGGAGAAATGGTCTCCTGACCACTTATACTCTGTATGAGGGTGAAGGTGGCTGTAGTAACTAACTAGATGAGTTTTTCCACATTTTATAACCAAATGCAATGAAAAATTGGAAGGCTTTAAGTAAGTGATCTTAGAATGATTAACTTGTTTTATTTTCATATGCCAATTCTTTCCTATGCTTTCTTGCCCTGTTGTAGAAAATCTTTTTCTAATAAACTATAATTCAGGCGGTGTTACTCATCTCTCCCGACTGGTACATGGAACTCAAATTCGCAATCTAAGTTTCTTCAATGAATTCAAGCCTTAAGAAAAAATAAGTTCTAAATTCATTTATCGGGGAAGCTGTTCCTTTGCATGGGGAGGGGAGCAACCTAGGTTTTAGAGACAGATGCCAGGCAAAGGGAGGAAATGTCCCACAAGTCCTGGGGCTGGATTATCTCTTCTCCTAACTGATCACTATTGTCTGTAAATGGATGCCTGGTGTGGCACTGTAGGATAAACACTGGACTGTGAACCACAAGGTTGGTGGTTCAAACCCACCAGCCGCTCCTCGGAAACCTCATGCACAGGGCCATCAACCATGAGTCAGAACTGACATGATAGCATTTAACAACAATTGTAAATACTTTCTGAAGCCATTCTATGACAGCTTCCCTTTTCTTCCCCACCTCCCATACTTTCTAATCTATTCAGGTCTGCTGAATCTCTCCACCCATTGAAGTATTCTGTTCACTACTACTCATTTCCCAGGACTAGCAGTGAGCTTTCCAGAGCGTTCCAGATTACAGGGTTAGATTCTTTAACCATGCCCAAACCATTCTCTAGTCTTGTTGCTTTGGGCTTGTTGGATACTCCCTACAGCAGGTCAACGATGGACCTAAAGACCCCTAAACACATTTCTAATGTAAAGGAGCTTTAGCTGTGTCCCCTTAGACTTTGGATCCTAGGATCCAGTCCTTCTCTTGACACTCCCACACCATTTTAGTAACTGCTCTGAGCTGTTAGAACATAGCTGTTCGACCCCTATTGGTTTTCTCTCCATGGACGTGACCTTTAGTTACAGTCCTCTCTAGTGTACCCCTTGGGAGCCACAATTGCCTAGTTTTTTTTAACAACTGTGCACGGCTCTTGCCTCATGTTTTACAGTGTGGTGCTGTAGGATCAGCACTGCACTGCAAACCACAAGGTCGGCAGTTCAAACCCACCAGTTGCTCCTCAGAAACCCTATACAGGGTCACTATGAGACAGATCGACTTAACGGCACGTAACAACAGCAACACGGAAGGCTCCCCCCAGGCTCCAGCTGATTTTTCCAGTTGTAATTTGCCAGGCCCACAGAATGGATATGAGAATCGGAAGATAACATCATCAGCACAAAACATTCGTCTTCCGTGTCAAACAGGCCACTGGATACAAAAGGTTAAAAGTTGAATGGAAAATCTAGGACTAGGGAAATATGTTAGAAAGTTTTTAGCACATAGGTAATAGTGTAAAGTCATAACACTGGGTAAGATTATATACTCAACAAATATTTAGTGAGTTCTTATTTTGTGCTAAGCATTCTTCTAGACACTGCAGCTGTGGGTACTATCCAAAGAAAAATACGTACCTACCCTTATGGGGCTTACTGCAGTCTAGTGCTGGGGGTGGAGGGTGAGTGCTAAATAACAAATATATGTAGTGTTTCCCATTGCCAAGAGTTCACTTGCAACTCATAGTAATCCTATAGAACAGAGTAGAATTGCCCCGTAGAGTTCCCATGGGGTACCACTAGCCTGTCAGTTTGTCATACTGTGATGCCTTGCATGTTTACTGTGATGCTGGAAACTATGCCACCAGGATTTTAAACACCAGCAGTGGTGGTTTCAGCTGAGCTTCCCGACTAAGACCGGAAGAAGGAGAAATGGACTACAGATGAAAGTTTAGCCACTGAAAATTTTATGAGTAGCAGCAAACCATTGTCAGGTATAATGCCGGAAGATGAAAACACATATGTTGTTGTTGTTAAGTGCCATAGAGTCGGTTCCAACTCATAGCGACCCTGTATAGAGTTTTTGAGGAGCAGCTGCTGAGTTTGAACCACTGACATTTGGTTCAAACCGACTTTGCAGTCCAACAAATTAACCCACAACCACACCTGGACAAGTGAAATAGTGAGCTATAAACTTGAGCCGCCAGCATCAAAACTTTTCCTGAGGGGTTATGTAGTTATCCTTTGGTTTCTGCACCCTAGTCAGAATAAGCATGCTTCAAATCAGCTTCATCAGACTTTGGGGTTTGCAGGCATTCTGGTATCGTGGGGAGAAGAGGATACAGACCTTAAGCATCCATGACAACCCATTTTGCCTCTTGGTCAGCAGCCTATTTCTGCTAATCACTTCTGAAGCACCTGTCTGCCATTGAGTTCAACAGTGCACTACTGCCATCTAGTGGAACCGAAACACCAAAGCTAATGCTTTTTTTTTTTTCAGTCCCATGTTTAATAATGCTTCCACCTGCACTTAAAAGCTCCCTTTCTTTCCACAAGACTCCATGACTTTAAAAAATAAAATTAGAGTCAGTGTATATTGTGAATCTTTTTCCTTTGATAAGCTCAAGGGCCCTAGTCATTGCTATTAACTTGATTTTTAAAGCAGACACTCTTGGGGGCAATCTTTTGCTTTCATTCATCTCTGACAAAGACACAGCCGTGTAGCCAGCAGGCTGGGTATCATTCTGAACAAAACTGCTGCTGTCTGTAAACTACATTCTGTCACTTTCAACAAGTAGTTGCTCCTGAAGGTCTGGGCAGATGGAGTAAACCTCATCTAGGACTTCTAAGCAGTACTGTACATTAGGTTCAGCTGGCTTAATAGGCAGCATTGACGAGAGATTGAGTCTTGTTCTGACCTGCAGTGTTAGAGATAGGCTACAGAGAAGTTGGATCAAGTATAAATCTAGTCAGCTGGAGGGGATTCACAAATGCCTTTTTTGCTCCAGCATGATAGTCACAGCATGCAGAGCAAACACAGTTGTTTCATATCCCAGAGTTAATTTATCAGCTGGTCACTTCCACTGCCTTGACACATGTGGACTAGCCCTTTGAAACAGAAATCCAAGTTCTTAGAAAATAGGCAATGAGGTGCCTCCAGGATCCCAAAGTCTGAGTGAGTAACCCCTTCATTTTTCTTTAACATAGAGATCTTTTTATAATGTGGGATCTGCATAGGAGGCCTGCATTAGCTCCTGCTTCAGTTTTTAAAATGCTTGTTGGCACTCACTAAGGAGTGTCCACTCAAAGAGATTGTGATTGGCTTCTTGGTTGGCCACATAGAGGGGCTGAGCCAAACTCCAATATTAGACAAGATCACAATATTAGCCAATACCCACCATCCAAGGGAACACCTGCAGTTGTTTGTGATTTCTGGGCAGGGAAAGCCAGCATACAGCCTCTATGTGCTCTGGCAGAAGTCTGCACTGTCCCTGAGTTATTAAGAAACCCACATATTTAACTTCAGTTCGGCTCACTTGCAACCCTCTGAATGACACTGGGTATCTGGCTTCAGCCAGAAAGTTTTCCTTCATTTTAAAATTTTGAATGGAGTCTTCTGTGGCACTGGCAGTAAGGAGATCATCTACAGATTGCAATGCTCCTTGCTGTTTAAAGGAGTAATGCTGGAAATGGAGCCAGAGATGATGACATGGAGCGATGGAGCAGCTGGAGACTTTAGATCCAGAGAGGAAGAGATCTCCTGCCAGTGTAGTCCCAAACAGGAGGGGTGAAAATTTTAATCCTTATGGGAAAACTTGCAGATAACATTGTCTTGTTTTCCAGTCTCAAAATCCCATTGGTGGTGGTGCATGGTTGTGTGCCATGGAGTTGGTTCCTATTCATAGCAACCCTGCATGGGGTTTCTGAGGCTGTAAGTCTTTTTCTTTTCTTTAATGTTTTATTGTGAATTATGTGGTAATTTACATGGGAGAACATTAGTTTTACATTCATTCTATCGTATATCATCTCATTGCCATGGTTACAATCACCTCCATGCAATCCTTCCCCC